GCATTTAATTTATTTTAGCATTATGCATATAGAAATAGATTTATTTTTAAGTCCCGGGACATGCATGCATTAATTTTGTTTCTATATTTTATACTAACTTATTTTTTTTAGTGTTTTTAGTTTGTAGGTAAAGCTTATGGGGAGATTAGAGGAAGCGCAAAGATCCTTCGATCTCGATTTGAAATCTAAGGTAAGTGATTTTAATATTAGTTTATGGTTTCCTAAACATATATATACTAATATTATTTTTAAATCTTTTTAGATGCATACGAGAGGGAGTGGCCTGATGATCGGACGACCGAATACATCATAGGGAGTAATTTGTCCCCTTCTTTTTATATTTATGCATTTAATTTATTTTAGCATTATGCATCTAGAAATAGATTTATTTTTAAGTCCCGGGACATGCATGCATTAATTTTGTTTTTATATTTTTTACTAACTTATTCTTTTAGTGTTCTTAGTTTGTAGGTAAAGCTTATGGGGAGATTAGAGGAAGCACAAAGATCCTTCGATCTTGATTTCAAATCCAAGGTAAGTGATTTTAATATTATTTTATTGTTTCCTATGCATATATATACTAATATCTATTTTAAATCTTTTTAGATGCATACGAGAGGGAGTGGCCGGATGATCGGATGACCGAATACATCATAGGGAGTAATTCGTCCCCTTCGTTTTACATTTATGCATTTAATTTATTTTACCATTATGCATATAGAAATAGATGTATTTTTAAGTCCCGGGACATGCATGCATTAATTTTGTTTCTTTATTTTATACTAACTTATTTTTTTAGTGTTTTTAGTTTGTAGGTAAAGCTTATGCGGAGATTCAAGGAAGCGCAAGGAAACTTCGATCTCGATTTCAAATCCAAGGTAAATGATTTTAATATTATTTTTTTGTTTCCTATGCATATATATATACTAATATCTATTTTAAATCTTTTTAGATGCATACGAGAGGGACTAGCCGGATGATCGGACGACCGAATACACCATAGGGAGTAATTCGTCCCCTTCTTTTTACATTTATGCATTTAATTTATTTTAGCATTATGCATATAGAAATAGATTTATTTTTAAGTCCCGGGACATGCATGCATTAATTTTGTTTCTATATTTTATACTAACTTATTTTTTTAGTGTTCTTAGTTTGTAGGTAAAGCTTATGGGGAGATTAGAGAAAGCGCAAAGATCTTTCGATTTCGATTTCAAATCCAAGGTAAGTGATTTTTATATTATTTTGTTGTTTCCTATGCATATATATACTAATATCTATTTTAAATCCTTTTAGATGTATACGAGAGAGAGTGGCTGGATGATCGGACGACCGAATACATCATAGGGAGTAATTTGTCCCCTTCTTTTTACATTTATGCATTTAATTTATTTTTAAGTCACGGGACAGGCATGATTTAATTTTGTTTCTATATTTTATACTAACTTTTTTTAGTGTTTTTAGTTTGTAGGTAAAGCTTATGGGGAGATTCGAGAAAGCGGAAAGATCTTTCAATCTCGATTTCAAATCCAAGGTAAGTGATTTTAATATTATTATGTTGTTTCCTATGAATATATACTAATATCTATTTTAAATCTTTTTAGATGCATACGAGAGGGAGTGGCCGGATGATCGGATGACCGAATACATCATAGGGAGTAATTCGTCCCCTTATTTTTACATTTATGCATTTAATTTATTTTACCATTATGCATATAAAAATAGATTTATTTTTAAGTCCCGGGACATGCATGCATTAATTTTGTTTCTATATTTTATACTAACTTATTTTTTTAGTGTTTTTAGTTTGTAGGTAAAGCTTATGGGGAGATTCGAGGAAGCGCCAAGATCGTTCGATCTCGATTTCAAATCCAAGGTAAGTGATTTTAATATTATTTTGTTGTTTCCTATGCATATATATACTAATATCTATTTTAAATCTTTTTAGATACATACGAGAGGGAGTGGCCGGATGATCGGACGACCGAATACATCATAGGGAGTAATTCGTCCCCTTCTTTTTACATTTATGCATTTAATTTATTTTTAAGTCCCGGGACATGCATGCATTAATTTTGTTTCTATATTTTATACTAACTTATTTTTTTAGTGTTTTTAGTTTGTAGGTAAAGCTTATGGGGAGATTCGAGGAAGCGGAAAGATTCTTCGATCTCGATTTCAAATCCAAGGTAAGTGATTTTAATATTATTTTATTGTTTCCTATGCATATATATACTAATATTTATTTTAAATCTTTTTAGATGCATACGAGACGGAGTGGCCGGATGATCGGACGACCGAATACATAATATGGAGTATTTCGTTCTTTTTCTTTTACATTTATGTTTTGCATTTATTATAGCATCTTGCATATAGTAATAGAATCATATTTACGTCCCGGGACTTGCATGCATTAATTTTTTTTAAAATTTTTAATTATCAAATAACATATTTTTTTCCTAATTATATCAATTTAGACTAATATAACTTATTTTCTAATAAAAAAAATACAAAACTTAATTAAAACTTAATATTTAAAATGTGGGCTGGCCTGGCCCGGTATAATTTGAAACCGGGCCATGCCTTGTTTTGGGTTTTCAAGCCCAATCCAAAATCAGGCCGGTCCTTTCGGGCTTGAATTTTAAAACAACCCGAGAGAAACCAAAAAAATATTACTCTTTCCCTAGCAAAAAATGCACTGATTTTTTGCGTGTCGGAATGAGTAATATCAGCCTGAAATTGCCACACTTTTTTTACTAAATATGATGTCAACTTTCTCAAATTATGGAAGCAACATACCTTAAAATTTGAATCCACCGATATGCTGAAGCCTTTTCCTTTATATCCGTTGATATGTTGAAGTCTTTTCCAACAATCCATTTGTATCGAATTGCAATGGTGCTGCACTAGAGAAGCCATTTCCCAATGCTTCCACATATACCTACTGGAAGTAAGAGATTAAGTAAAAAAATAAAAATCATGATTACACTGGTCTTTTATATAACTGTTATTATGAAATTTCCAAAGCATTATTATTACAAAATACAGTTTATCAAATTCTTTAAACTAAGACTATTTAATACCAACTCACAAACAATCTATTCATATCATCTTTAATGTGCCAACATAGCATAATTCATGGGAAAGAAACAAATGCCCGTTAGAAAATTATTAAGCACAACATTACAACTATTTTGATCGTTATAAATAAAATTTGACCCCTCTGCCTTACGAAAATATGTTCAACAATTAGTGGACAACAAATTAATATTCACACATATACATACACATGAATACTGGAATTTTAAAATTGTAATTATATTGCAAGCCTATATAGGTAGTGCTCATATTCAACTAGAATGTTGCTACTTGTAGTACAAATGGCAACTGTTCTTGTGGCTTTTATGTTCAAATCAATGATCAAAAACTGTCAACCGCTCTGTAAATATGGGCTCAACTGTATATAATAATTATTATAATAACATATACAAATTAAGATAGGTATTACCTTATACATAAGATATGTGTGTCCTTTATAAATTTTTCATTCATTCTACGTAAACACTCAACAAATTCACTATTTAATAGTACTCAAACTAGGACACACGTGAGTATTCTGTTAGTAATAACTCGTAAGCAATTCCTTACAAGAAAATTCAATAAATAATTCTATAAGTAAATTACTCATGACATCAATCACGAAATTTCATCCTTGACTAATTTGCACACATAATTATAGTTATTTTACAATTTCTTACTAAACTATGCACAATAACTTGACTATGTTTCTAACTTTCTATAAACTAATGGATATATAGGATCAAGCAAAAACCGTGGCATGATAAATTGACATTTTAAGGTGCAGAAATTTGAAAAAATTACACCACATGAAGTGAAAGAATCGACCTTTGATGCAATTAACTATATATTTCAACTTTATAAAAATGTAGTGCACCTAGTAAAACATAAATTTATCAATCGAAAATAAATGCTATCTTCTTCATTTAACATGATGGAAATTACAAAACCGAAGCATATTTGATGCCTACATGTAGATTTCCAAGTTGCAAATGGTGAATGATTAGAATACGATAGACACCATATTAGCACATTGCAATAGCTTAATCCACTAAAGTTTTAAGAATCTCATTATTATATAAACTTCATTCAATCTACTTTCTTGCTTAGGAACATAATCTTATATTATATATCTCAAATGGGGGTAGAAAATAAAAATTTCACAAAAAAAAAAGTTAAAATACTTACAATTACATCCATAAAAGGAATAAAATAGAATTGATGGCATATGATGTACTTCTGACTTCAAATTTTCTATCGGTATCTGCACCCATACAAGATTAAACAAACATGATTCAGTAGTTAGTAACTGTAATGAATGTCATGAGATCATATCATTTATACGAGGGGTTGAAGTGGAAGAGAAATCAACTAAACTCGCCAAAACGGTTCAAACCGCCAGTTACGGTTTGTCAAAATATCAAATCGAAACCGAACCTTCCAAATAACGGTTTTGGTTACGGTTTGACGGTTTCGATTACGATTTATAAACCGCCGGTTTCAATTTAAAAACCGTCGATTACAGTTTGAACCGCCGGTTTATATATATTCATTTTTAATATTTTCCTTTTTTATTTTCTATTTTTCTAAATTTGAATTTAATTTAAAATTTATTAAGTTTGATATCAATTTTATTCAGATATATTTATTATTTATTTATTATGTAAAAATCATATATATAAATAAATAATTAAATTATTACATTATAAAAATAATTAAAATAATAAATATAGTAAATAATTAAATTAAATTTTAAATAAAAAAAGAACATAAAAATAAATGTAAAAATATTGATATGATAAAAAATTACAAAACTTAAATATATATAATAGTATTATTTTTTTAATATTATTAATAACTATTGATATTTATTAAGATTAATATTATTTTTATATTTAGAAAAGTTTAATAATATATATATATAAAAAATTAATCATAATTATAATATCATTATTATTAATATACACAATTTACCCTAAATTCCTAATCAATAATACATTTACACATACTATATCATCATCGACAGCAGACGGCAGCCGCGCCAACAGGTTTTCCTTTTCTTTTCTTTTCGGTCTTCCTGTTCCCTCCTCCCTCTTTCCTCTTTTTTTTCTTCTTCTTTGCCTAGCCTCCCTGTGAGTGGTGAGAGATTTTTTTAAAAAAAAATAATATAAACCGCGGGTTCAAACCGTTACGATTTGGAAAATTCACAAACCGAAACCGAACCGTGGGATGACAATTTCGGTTCGGTTTGTGCCGGATTTCGATTTGAACCGTAACCGTCGGTTCAAAAATCGGCAAACCGAAGGTTCGAAACCGAATGGGCAAGTCTAAAATCAACCTTATTCCATTCTAAATCAAAAAAGATCTCTGGACATATATTAGTGATAATTAACCATGAATTGGTCTAACAAATTTACAAAACAATATCTATCATGCAGAAATTTCGTAAATTTAATTAAAATTCCACATTGTTAGGTATATGGCAGTAATCTCTAAATAAAAGAACCACGAAGAATAAAATAAATTTTAAACAAACCTTTCGACGAAACTTAACAAAGCAAGTTGAAATATTAAAATTGCAACACCTGATTGTGAATAATAGCTTAAATCAATTGGCACTTAGAGAACATAGAATTTCACTTCCTTCGTACATAATTTAAACAATATTTTACAGAGCAACACATTATTCACAAATCCCTATATACTACTTTCATAATAGGTATGCAATATGTGTTTCTTAAAAAGTTCACTACCAGCGGACTAATGTTTCAAAATATATGTTTTCATGAATTCAAACATCAAGTATAACTTTCATCATAAATAGGCCGTTTGAAATAAACCACTAAAACATTGGTCTTTGCATGAAAATAACAAACAAAGTGGCATGAAACGATATTTCTAGAAGTTCCCTAACAAACATATCATATTATCCTTCTTATGCATGCATCTGCATTATCAACGTCAAGAGGCTAAACAACAGCAAACATTTGAAGAGTAACGGAAATTAACCAACTTCACCAACAGTTAAGACTCATGACTACTCACTTGAACTATTAGTAGTACTACTATAGCTCTTTCTTTATTATAAATTGTAAGCATGGCAAAGAGATTAAGGAAACTTCACCTTCTTCTTCGGTAGATGCCATAAGCAATAGTAGCAGCTGAAGTGATGCTCAATATAATAACCACAATCCAGGTGGCATCTTTTTTTTATTTAACTTTAACTGTATCAAGTCCACTTGGTGGGTTGTGGCTATCAAATAAGGCCACACTTGATTTGCCAATAGTAGTACCCATTTGGCCCCTGATTTAATTAATAATGCATATAATTTGTAAGATAAGAAGGGGAGGAGAAGAGAACATATATATTCAGAGAGAATTGCTAAACCTCCAAAGCTTCTCAACGATTTCACCCTTTAGGATATGTTCCTCAACTAATTCAAGAACATCCTTAGCCGTGATGTATCCACACCTGCGTGATTAGAGTAAAAAAAAATAGTTATTTATGATCAATCCTCGCAGAATAACATACCACAAATGTATGTTTCTATAATTACAGACCATGAACACATATTATGGTGCATCAAATATCTAACATAAATCCATCAAAACTTATACATATATACTGTAATTAAAATTAAGCGAAATATTCTCTGCAGAAGGATAATAAAATATAGCAAGCCATAAAATCTTGGTCTCACCAATTGGCAATTGCAATCAATCTTTTCCTCAAAATTAAGACCGGAAATAATCACATTGCCTACAAAGCTTCTTGTTTCCTCGTATGTGTGAATAGTCAATCCCCTAAAGATGAAAGATCTATGCAACTCAAATTCAAGCAAAAACACAAATTCAAAGTTCTATTGAATCAGTCACGATTACTCCAAGAATATGAATCCAATTTCACTCACACAAATGTTGCCAATTCAACATCATATTTAGAAACGTATTTGAAATCTTTGGGAGCAAAAATTGAAATAAAACAATCTTGCTCAAGATGTCCATTGTCAAGATTGTTTTCCATAGAAATGCAAGAAGAATTGGTGCACATAAGGCACAGCCAACAGCATATACCTTAGACCAGGAACAGTGAGTCGCCTTGGAACTGTTAATGGCAAGTGCATTAGAGAACATAGCTTCAAAAATGAAAACAATGGCCGATGTGCTTCCGTATCTTCCTCATTCCATCTCCACAGATTCTTGTCTCCGTCATATTGCCACATTAGTAGCGCACATCCACTGCAGCAACGAAGCATGTGACTGCGCATTACTCTCGGTTTCAACCTCAAGCAATGAGCTAAACATGGACTCATCCTCTTGATTTCCCATGGAAAACAGACTTCCTACAACTGGAAGCAATGGAGTAAACGCATCCAATTTCAGCCTTTGGGTATGGGTCCTCAACAGTTCATTAGCAGCAACGACAAAGGCATATACTACATAAATCGATACAAAAGCAATAGCAGCCCACACAGTCACTTTACCAACAAACAAGATTAATGAAAGGGCCGTAAGTGTAAAGATGAAAAACAAAATATCCCTTACAAAACACTTGTTATCAATCTGGACGTCCTGTTGCGCAACACAAAGTGAAACAGCCCCAACAACGATGCAAGTAACAAAGACTGCTCCTCCGAGCACACTGTTGAGCCCAACCTCCCCGGCTCCAGTCCCTACAAAAGCCGCAAAACTAGCAAATACATCAGGAGCACCAAGCAGAGTGACTCCAGCAACAGTTGGAGGGAGAGAGCTTCAACAGACTGGAAAGCTTCTCCAAAGAAATACAGAAATAATCGGCTGCCTGCCGTATTGCCTAATAGATAGAACAATGCAGCAAGCCAGACACCAAATACCAAAAAAGTCCATCCACTCTCATGGCAGTCACAATAGTAGAACTTAAGGTATTCCAAAAATCCTTGTGATTTACACTGACTGAGGGCGTGATTTCAAGAGCTCACAGCTACTATTGTATCCCTTGTGATCATAACAAAGTATAGAGTCTTCCACATCCATGGAATTAGAATCGGATGAATTTAGATTAATTGAAAACTGAGGGCTAAGCTCCATTATTTCCCTTCTAATACCTGAAAACCCCTTATCTAAACTTGGAGCATAGAAGAACAATAATTGATTTCATGCCTGTTGAAAATGCCACTTTATAGGATATAAACTATCGTCAATCTAGTTTAAGTTCATCTATGTCGCAAAGTCTAATCTTATGTGTACGAGGAACAACAAAGTAATGAAGAAAATGGTTTGAAGAAACACAAAAAGAGGCCGCATATTCAAGGAAGGTATAATCCAATGTCGATATGTAGAAACAAGAGTAAAGCACAATTGAAGTGATGACTACGAATCCCACCTGTGAGTAATAGGATGTAAGAGTCTCCGCGTGCCGATAGAAATTTGATGGTTTCCGCAACTTTCTCTAAGCACTCCTTGCTCTAACAACAAAAATTTAATGAACGCAAACGATGAGATAGTTTGCTTTCTTAAGTGACTATTCAGCTATTTACAATTCCATCTGATGAAAAATTCTAAGGACATCGTTCATACGAAGTGACATCACATACCCTTTTATCATAGCACTCAAACAAAAAATATCGGGCTCGACTCCATCATCAACCATTTGCTTGAACAGGCACCTTATTGTCTCAATATACATTCGGTTAATATAGTTGTTCGTCCTGCGGCTCAGAAATGCTGCAAACAATATGTTATAGGTACGAATCGACGGCCGGCAATCTAAATTCCGGGAAGCACGCATATGCTTGTATATATTCACAGCCCTAACAAGCTTCCTATCCTCAATGAAGTAATATATCATGGTATTGAAAAGAGGCTCAGAGCCCAGGTTAGGGATAGCTAGAACCTGATTGACGATATCGTCCATTTCCTTGTACATTTTGGCCGCACCGAGCTTTTGGATCGTGACGTGATAGGTGAACACGGTGTGCCTGAATCTGTGCTGCTGAGACGCCCAATTGAAGCACACCAATGGATCGTCCTGTTCGATTATCACATTGTGGAGATCCTCCGGGGTGAACCTAGGCAGCAGCTGAGATACACATTTTTGGAAAACTGTTTTGTCTAGAACAGGTTTTGCTGCCAATCTAGCTCTTCTGTTGATTCGCTTGCGCAGTGATCTCGAAATCGGACCGCTGTATATCCTTGTGGAAGTGGAATATAAGGAAACGCACGATCCTGTACTGGAGATCGGAGTTCCAGGGTTTTCAACGATGCGCGAACGGAGAATTGCTGGGGAAATGCAGGTAGGAGATGAAATTGAGCGATTTGGAGATGTAATTGAAAGGGGAATGTGAAAGTAATCGAAGAAATTGAAAATTGGTTCTTACTCTGTTGCAACCGATACCTGACTTGAGCGAACATGGTGGAACTTCGAATGTGAGCTTTCACGAACTGTATTTGACCCAAAATTTTCGACTAACGACTTACAAAACCTACAAGCAAAACTGGTGTTAGAGAATAAACTTGGCCATGTTTGTTTGTTGGTGCGATTTTCTGTGCACCCTAGCTACCGGAAAAACTTGGGCAAAGAGGTCTGAAACGGAAGCGCCGGCGACCGGAGACCACCGGTAGGAGAAGCAAAGAAAATGAAAAAATAGATGAGGAAAATGTTAAAACATACTCGATTTCCTAGTAAACGGAAGCACAATCAGAGGGAAATGAAGAAAGAGAGGGAAATTAAAAAAAGCCGCACCGGATACTCCAGCGGGCGGCGGCGGCGGCGCAACTTAGAAGAAAAGGAAAGAAAAAAGAGAAGAGGGGGAGAAAGTAAGGAAGAAAGAAAGAAAAACGAAGAAGAAAGACGGCGGAGGGCAAGGTGGGTGACGGCGGCGCGTGAATTGGATTGTTGGAGTGATTTGATTTGGTAACAATTTATCTATTTTTGTTTTTTAATAATTATTTAATATTATAAATATTTTTTAATTTACATAAATATAAAATGGAGAGTATTATATTATAAGCATATAAATAATTATGATTTATATATAAATAATAATATAAGAATTAGGCTGCCAGCTATACACAACACCCATCTGATGAAAAATCCTAAGGGTATCGTTCGTATGAACCGGTTGTGCGTACATCATTTCATTTTAAGAAAATAAATTTTTCGCCATTAAATCTTTTTTTTTTTTTTTGTTAGCAATGATATTAGTGACTATTAAAGATTGGTTGCGTTAGCTATGTGAATTTTAGAGACGAAATTTCGATTACAAATATGCTATTTTTTATATAGTATTTATATTAATATTTACAAATGTAACACAAAATTAAGAGCACATGCCATAATTTTCACTAATTAGAAATTTAATAGTAAATAATTAATATTTTATATATAAAATTCAAGCTTCTGATTTGAAGTATATATACTTTAGCGAAATAATTATTTTTTATATCCTTTAATAAAAAGTAATGAAAATATTTCTCTTTATTTAAATATAATTAACGTCATTATAATTGTCATTTTCTTAAATATTGGGCATCAATATACATTCCTGAAGTTATAAATTGTGTTAACTTAAATTTATTTCTCAAGCATAACGCTAATCGTGTCTAAAAATATATTGTAATTACATTTTTTTTAATTTACTTTTATAGTATTAATTATACTGTAAATTATAGTACTCCGACCGTCTCATTGAAAGGTTGTCATTTTTCATTTTGTCCGTCCCAAAATAAGGTTATCATTTCCTAATTTAGTAATTGTACTATCTACCTAACATAATATATATCCTTCCAACTTATGCTATATTACACAAATGTCATTACTTTTATATTACACAATACTAATAGGCGCATTTTCATTTTTTTTTCACTACAACTCATTATAATACTAATATTTAAAAATCTACATGCAAAAAGTAAACGGCAACCTTGCACTGGACGGAGGAAGTATATTCATTAAAAATATATATATCATATTTAATATTTTATATTTAAAATTTATTTTATTTAAAACACTCTCACTTAAATATCATTATATATTTATTTATATGGCAAAGCACCCAAATTGTGAATAATTCTCTATTGTTAACCATAGCCTTCAAAAGCCCATAAAGTTCAAAGCCATTAAACTATTAATGGATACGTTTGATTGTGGTTTCGTAACATTGATTTATTTACAAAATTTTTAAAATGAATAAAAATAAAAAAATTATTTTCAATAGTCAATTATAAAAGTTCAAAATATTTCAAAATACTGAGTGTGCTTGTTCGAATGATTTGCAAAGATTTATACTCCCTCAAACATTTCTTTTTTGATATATCTCAAACACTCTGGAATATTTCCAAAATAGGAAATAATTAATTATACTTAATATCTACACTACACTTTATCCCCTCACATCATCCAAATAAAAATAAAATAAAATATATATTTCTCTCTCCATCACATAACATAATTTCTAAATTATCATACTTAATAGTACTCACCTAAAAACCCGTGGCAAAAGTAGAAAATAGGGACAAATTATGTGGGACGAACGAAAATAGAAAATAAGGACAAATTATGTGGGACGGAGGGAGTATTTAAAAATCACATTAGTATGACAATATCAACTTATATCATATCAAATGATTATTCAAATTTAAATTTTAATTATTAAAAAAATTCAAACAAAAAAATCAAACCTGCAAATAAACATTGGTCTAGCATTTCTTTTCAAAAATACTTATCAAATGCCAATTTTTTATTTAAAATATCATATTCATTACCTATTTATATTATATCAAACATTTTTTTTATTCTATTTTCTTTTTTTTTTTTATTTTCATATTTCCTAATCAACTTAAAACTCCAAAATATTTTTCAAAACATATTTCTTAACGTAATTTTAATATAGAAAGCATTTAATATTATGACATATAAGCACCGTTTACTTGATTTCAAATTCTTTACTTTACTATTTTTTATAACTTTTTATAAATTATACTCCCTCCGTCTCAATACAATAGTCTTGTTTACCATTTTTGTCCGTCCCAAAACAATACTCTTATTTTCATAAATAACCATATCACCATAAAATTATCTATACTTTTTCATTTTTATTATACATTTGTCACTGATTTTTACACTAATACATTCGCAGGGCCAAAAAAGTCTTTTATCTATATTTTTTACTAACTATCAATATAGTATTAATATTCTTTAAATCTCGTGTCCAACCTAATTAAGACTATAGTTTTGGGACGGATGGAGTACTATTATTTACATACACTAAATATAAAATTCAAATTACTATTCATACCTAAAAAAAATTATAATAAAAACTCAAACAAACGCGTAATAGTTTGGTACTCAGACCAAAAAAATTATGATATAAACACACGTGTGTGTATATATATATCAACACTTTATATTATTAATTATAATATCAATAATAATAATAATAATAATAATAATAATAATAATAACAACAATAATAATAATAATAATAATTTGAAATCAGATGATTACTATAATTATTCATTTAAAATAGAATTATTCCTTTAAATAAATCTTACATATCTTTCTTGCGATTCATGGATTTGTTTGGTTTGTATTTCAACTTACTATATTTAATATTCGTTTGCATGATTTTAATAAAATATATTATTTATTTTTATAAAATATTATTTAAATTCAAATTCAAATAAAAAAATATATATTAAATCTTAATTTTATAATTCTGAATGTTGTGCAGTATCTTAAAACCTAAAGGTTTAGTAATTATTCCCAAGGAAGAAGACGAAAGTGGCCTACTCCCATGTTGCCCCAACTATTCTAGCACGTCCATTTTCAACAAGGTATATATTTTGGGTATAAAATATTTAGGATTTATTCTTTTTTCTTAAAACAAAATAATATTAAATAATTATTATTTTATATTATTTACAGAATTTTCTATCTAAAATAAAAAATTATAATATTATTTTAAACTATTTGACAAAACAAACATACTCTTAATTAAATTACATATCTCAGTTCACCAATAGAACAAGTTTAGTCATAATTCTTAAGTAGTATTAGTGAAAAAATCTAACAAATTTTAATATATGTACATACAACAATTATACATTATTAAAAAAATAAAATCAATAATTCAATTAAAAGAACTAAACATTTCATTTATTGTACTCCCTCCGTCTCATATCTATATATCCATTTGCTTTTTGCACAAAGTTTTAAAAATATTAGTTTTATATTAGGATAAAGTAGAAATAAAGATAAAAAGACTAAATTAACTATTGTATTACATAAAGGTAATGACATTTGTGTAATATATTGTAAATTGGAAGGGTATTTGTAATGTTAGGCAGATAATACAATTACTAAAAAAAAAGAAATAAATACTTTGTTACGGGACGGACAAAATAGAAAAATAGATAGATTGTTAAGAGACGGAGGAAGTATTACTGAATTATTTTTTTATTTATTTTTATATATAACACTTAAAACTAAACACAAACACTTTAATACTCAGATTTTTTAGATCTAACTGGTGAGACAGTTAAGATTTTTATTAAAAAATATGTAATTTAGTTTCTAAACAATATGAAAAATAAATTCAAAATATAAGTAAAGAACCTTTAATTGATGGGTTTTATTTTGTTACTATTTTGAATTCAAATCAATATTATTTATCAACATAATTTTTATTAAAAATATACTATTAATTTTTTAATAAAGTATAAAATATCACATCAAAATACTAACTGAAAAAAGAAAATGGCAGATCTAACACATTATTTCAAATAAAGTTAAAAAACACAACCAAACAAACCCAATGAATTGAAGTTAAATTTGTAGACCCTTTAATATGTTTATACAATTCAGGAGATATTACTTCATGAAGAAAATCGAAGCCGTCGCTACATTTCTTCATCGTACGTCTCACATTGTCCTAATAAATACAAGGCGGCAGATACAGTGTTGACCCTCGGAACACATCGCAAATGCGATTGCGACCGAGTCGAAGAGGATATTGTCGGGACGCTTAGAGAGAGCATTTCGTGGCAAATCGAGTCGATACCGTCGATAGCGACCCCATTGATGGACGGTTACGATCATCAACAAGATACGTGGATGTTAATTCGGGGGAACGATATTGTCGGAAAGCAAAGATTAGCCGTCGTAATAGCGAAGGCGGTATTCGGTTCTTCGGATTTTTTATTCTGTTTGGACCCGAAGAATAATTGCCCGTTTACGGTGTCTGAGAACTCGGCCGCGCTCGAAATGGCGTTGCGGAGCGTCGGAAAGCTCATCGTGTTGGTCGAAAATGTCGATTCGGCTGATCCCGGGTTTTTTAGGTTTCTCGCCGATATTTTGGAGGGGCGAAAGCGTCGTACGTGGACACGTGTTATATTTATATTGACAATATACGGCGACGGCGATTATGACACGTGGTGTAATAAGTTTGGGGATGACGATGTAGTATCGACTGTCATTTCGATG